AAAACTCAGTGCAATGAAGAATAATAATATGGGTATCATTAAAAATAGAAAATTCTGTAGAATTGAAAAAGTTTTTAGTGAATAAGGACAAATAGATACTGAAAAACTGATTTTGAATTTTATTCTTGAATATCCTTGAAAATTTGCAACAAGTATTTTTGAAAAAAAATGTATTTTAACGACCACATCCTCTAATCCTAACTTTATTAGCTTAAAAAAAATTAATTAAAAGGACATTGTCAATACCTGTTCGTCCTTGTGAACCAAAGGACTTACATTTTTCTAATTCTACAGAATTTTCTCTTTCCTTTGGGACCCATATTATTATTCCACATAGGACTGAATTTTTTTATCACTTTTTTTTTTGGACTCATCATATTTTTGAAAGTCCTTTTGAAAAATCCTAACGTCAGAGAGAAAATTTCAATGTAAGTCAGGCATTATAGCAAACTAATTGGAAAAGTTTCATTTTATGGGACAGGAAATAAAACAACCTTTTCTCCTATATTTCACGTACTTTCATACTCTCCCGGCTGTGTGCGGTCACTAAATCGTATCCGTATTAAGGCTACAAAGAAACTTCTTCTTCCCGGCGGATTGAAATTCATATTTAATATTATATTGCCAGTCTATTTGCAATATTTGATGGTAAATAATACATACACAAGGAAGGGACGGGATACAAATTTTGGGTTCTTACTTCAACATGGGCCGATGGACCGTAGAGGTATTACGATAAGGAAAGATGGGACGCCAGTTGTAAAAGGTTGGGAACCACTGGTTCAGCCTATTTGTGGCATGCGCATTGATGTTGTCACACAAATTGTTATTAACTTTCATTAGAACTTGAGTAATTACCTTCAACATCTGGCTTCCAGTAACTTTAGCCCGATGTTCTTACCCCGATTTTTGCAGTGATTTAGTCCTGAATCGAGTTTTGGAGGTCCGAACACTGTTCTTTACATTTTTACTGTTTTATAAACCTCAAACCGCAGTGTGGACAGCAATAGTTAGTGATGTGGTTAAGTTCGATTTGAGATGGTTAACTTTTTGGAGGGGACATGTTATTATATTTTCAAAAAATGTCAGTTAGACCGTTATAATTCTAACCCCTTCATATGTAACTTATGCCGAATATCCGCTAAGCATTGAAATTACAAAAAATTGGTGCCATTTAAAAAATGCCATGTGGAAATGAATTTAATCACTATTTTTATAACGTAATGGCACGAATATTTTTAATGGCTAACTTGGTCATTTAAGTGCCAGCCAATTAATGCAGAGTGGAAACCCAGCATTATAGATATATTTTTTTATGTTTACACTATTGTAAAATTTTACAGTCCTAAGGTTTTGTAAGATTTATTACGGCCCTAAGGTTTATAAGGGAAATCGAATTAGTTTAAAAGCCAAGTAAAAAAATTTTAAATAAAACAACCAATTTTGGTTAAAAACAGCAGTTGTGACTTCAATACATTTTACGTTTGATAGCGAAATAAGTTCTGAACACATTGAAAACGACGAGCTACCGACCACAGCTTCCAATTTGTCATCTTTATTATCTAAGCGCTTTGTCGATGGCGACATGATTTCTTTGAACGCGGCAGCGACATCATGAATTTGTATGAGTTTGACATAAAAGAAGAGGAAGAACCTTATCTGTCGCCAGAAAAATAGAAATAGATCTAATCTGGCCACAACCACAGCCGTCGCGTAGCCCGGTCGTCGCCAAAATAATTATCTACATAAGAGTACGTGTTAAAATAATTTGACAGCTGTGGTTTGTAGCTCGTCGTTTTCATTGTGTTCGGGCTATTAGTGTTGATACTACCCTCTGCTAGATGTCGCTGAATGCATCCGCCCAATGTTTGTATTGATCGATACTCGGTACCGATTTAAAAAGCATCCAATACTTTCGATACTCGGTACCGAAACGTTTAGACTTCCAATAAGAACGCATGTAGACCAAAAATAAAAGCGGTTTAGGGGAGCCTAGCCTATCATAAGCAAGTGTAGGGGCTAATTAAGGTTTTGATTTGCATTTTCCATCGCCACAATGCAGAGAAACTCTTTCTTATTTGAAACATTTATTTCTAGATGAATCGGACGATGTTATCTTTGTAGGCCTTCCTTCATCCGTCAAAGCATTTTTCTTAAATTTTAGATTTACGAAGGTGGAAACTAATAAAATGGTAGCTTACTGTTGCGACAATATCAAGAAGGCGATGAGTGTTTTGATATGTGGTTTCCACATTGCTTAGTACAAATTGTTTTTTTTTTGGGAAACCATCGCCTTATGGGCTGTTTTTGCTTACGCGTAAATGTACATTTAGCGCATTTAGCTCTAAATGCTACTCTAAATGTACATTTATCCATACAAAATTCGTCATCTAAATGCAACTAAATGCAACTCAATCTTTGCATTTAGAATCTAAATGCTAAAAGCATCCCTGTGATCTTCCAAAATTTCCACGATTCGAACATGGTTTAATGAGAAAAAGTGGCAACATTGCTTTTTCGAGTATACAACCGCTAGCTGCGTTTCAGTGATCACCGATCGAGATTTCATTTATTATTTTACATTATTTGGATAAAGAAAAGTTACGCAAATTCAACATCGAAATGATGCTGATAGAAATCTGGATTAATTTGTGATCAACTCTGTTTGTTTTGTTTCCTAATTAGGTGTGGAAAATATAATTGGCAGCACCGACAAATGAATATATTGTTACGATTATCCTCGAATCCTTGAGGGATTTCCCAAATATACT